CCCTAACAGTGTTGTGGGTACAGCACCTGGACTGCAGCCATTCAAGAAGGCAGCTCACCACCATCTTCTCAAGGGGCAACGAGGGACAGGCAATAAATGTTAGCCCAGCCATTGATTTGCATGCCTCACAAGTGAATGAGATACGGTATAGAGTACCATGATCAGCCAGTAATGTCTGCTGCCAAATCTATACCTGCTTGAAAAGGAGAGCAAAATCCCCAAATCAGGCTGAATGTCAATCCAGGCTTGCGGCCACTAGGTGGATGAGCGGTCGAAGGAATGTTCAATGGAGGGAGGGAGAGTGGAAGAAGGATGATGGTTGGTTCTGGTGGAAGGAAGCTTTCATTCTGAAGGAGTACAACCAGAAATGGTGATTGTTCTTTTCCTACTCCCAACTTCTTTATTTCTATAATATTATGTGTTTTCAAGAAGGTACTAAAGCTCGTGTGGATAAAAAGATCAAGGGAAATGGGGGAGGACAGGATTACGGTATTGAGCTCGATGATCAGCCATGAGCATAGTGAATGGTGGAGCGGGCTAGAGGAATCAAATGAAATTGCCAAAGTTTATTGATGATACATAGTGCCCCGGAGGATGTGGTGGTGAGCTCCCTTCTTAAACCTGTGTTGTCCTTGATGTGTAGGGATACCCACAGTGCTATTAAGATAGTAGAATAGAATCCCTACAGTGTGGAAACAGGCCATTCAGCCCAACCCAATCCCCTACTTTTCCCATGTCTAACCCACCTAACCCACACATCCCTGAACACTATGGGCAATTTAGCACAGCCAATCCACCCACCCTGCACGTCATTGGACTGCGGGAGGAAACCGGAGCACCCGGAAGAAACCCACACAGACATGGGGAGAACATGCAAACTCCACACAGACAGTCGCCTGAGGCTGGAATCGAACCCGGGTCCCTGGCACTCTGAGGCAGCAGTGTTAACCACTGAGCCACCATGCCACCCATTTTTGCTCACAGGTGTTTTGACCCTATAAACAATGAAGGAACAGCAATACAGTCCACATCATTACAGCGTCTGGATGAGAGGCAATCCTATAGGTGGTGGTGGTGGTGTTCCTACTTATCTGTTGCTCTTGTCCTCCTAGATGATACAGGGTCACAGGTTTTGGAAATGCTCACAAAGGAGGTGAGTGACCTCTCATAGATGGTACAAATTGGAACCTCTGCATGAAATGAGGAAATATTAAAGGTGGTGAATGCTCCAGCTATCCAGGTGAGTATCTCACAGAGCCATTCTCCTGCTTTCTCCCCATCACCCTGTACGAACAACAGCCTCATTCCGTTTTGAATGCCTACACTGAAGTTCCCATTTTGGAGGATCAATCAAGAGCTCTGCTTTGGCCTGGATTGGGATAACTTTCTGGAATGTAGTTACTGCCGTTCTCACCCAGTTTAACTGGAAAACTTTCAACCAGACTCCTGGCTCATGCCTCACAGGTGGCGGACAGGCTGTGGGGAAGAGGGGAAGGCGAGTTACTCACCAGAGAATACCTTTTCTTGGAGCTGCAGTATTCATATGGCTCATTCAATTCAATTTATGATTAATGAGGGGCCGAGGATTTTCACAGTGGTGGAGTCAATGACAGAAATGCCGACAGGAGATGGTCATTTCCCGGCACTCTAATGTCACTTTCCAGTTGTCAGCCCCAGACTGAATCTAGTACATGGCTCGCTTCACATGTACACAGGTTCTTTTGGTATTTGAGGTGTCATGAATGGCGGTGAACATCGCACAATCGTCAAACAATTGCTCTTACAACAAAGAAAAGGCATTGCTGAGTTATCTGAAGTTGCTAGGACTGAAGAAACAGCCCTGAGGAACTCCTGCAATGATTGGGATAGCTCGAACCAATGGAAGTGCTTTTACTCTGATTCCCACTGACTTCAGTTTTGCTCCTGAATGTCAAGGGCAGTAACTCTCACCTCACCGCTTATGTTTAGCACTTTTACCAATGCTACAGTGAGCTCAGGACTGGAGTGGCCCTGGTAGAACTCAAAATGAACAGGCTATTGCTGTGGAAATGCTGTTTGATGGCACTTTCAATGACACTTTCCATCAGTTTACTCATGACTAATGACGCAGTAACTGACTAGATGAGATTAGTCCTGCTTTTTGTAAGGACAGCACACAGCAGGAGGGAGGCAATGCATAGTGGTATTGTCACTGAACTAGCACTCCAAAGTTTGTGGCTACTTCTCTGGGGACTCAGAATGGAATCGGAATTCAAAACAGAAAAATCTGGAACTAAAAAAAAGTCTATTGACAACCATGAAACAAGTCCATATTGTTATAAAAACCCAACTGGTTCACAAATGTTCTTTAGGGAAGGAAATCTGCCAATCTAGCCTGGCTTCAATGTGACCGCAGATGCACAGAAATGGGATTAACTCTGAAATGGCTTAGCAGATCACTCAGTTGCACATAACCATTAAAAGTGGCACATTGTCGGAAAACTGCCTGCACTATAGCTGTACTGGAACAGCTTGGCGAAGAATGCAGCAGGCTCAACCGACAGGATTTCTAACCTGAACTGACCGCAATTACTCTTGGAAGCTGCTTTAATATAAGTTATGAACAGATTACAAGTTTTAAGACTCACATGCTTTCACGACATGACAATAAGCAGACTGTGATTTAATTCTTCCCCCCTTTTAAATAACGGCGGCGTATTTCCCAACATCCTCTGATAATTCAGTAAAGAATAAACATTTTATCCAATTAGCAATTACCCAAATACAAAAACAAATGAAGGATACCAGTTTAAAAATGTCTTTGCTTTTAAGAAGGAGTCCAAAAGTCCAAAACTGGAGTTATCGGAATTTCTTTGCAAGGTGATTAATTGTTTAGCTCGAAGTCCAGAAGTTGTAGACAGTTTCTTCTTTAAAATTCCTTCAAGCATTGTCTGAAGAATATTGCTGCAATGTAATTTCTACTTTGCTGTCTCGAGTGAAAAAAAAAGTTGATAAACTTGTGTTCATGCTCTCTGCAAGTTATGACTGCTTTTAACAGGTTTAAGTCTTCACTGTTATAGCCCAGGGTATGGGATTTTGATATCATCAGTGGATATGGCATGAAGCAACCTGGACCCCATAGCTGACAGAAATTTAATTTTTTCCAAGTTAAAAATCATCAGGTTCCACAGTTATGTGACCAAGCCTCCTTAGTTGGGGTTGAGTGAATTCTTAACATTGAGATGAAAGCTTCCAATGCAAATAAACTATTTTGCGCCCTTCCCAGAGGCTAAGTGGAGTCATCAAGACATCTTACAGGATAGAGGTAACTTGCAATTGTTGTGTTCGGGGTTTCTTGGAGCCAACATTTCTCCACAATAGTTTAAAAACTCAGTCCCATCAGGAGGTGTGAGCTGCTGATTTTCAGCCTACATGGCTTTCTAAAGCAGCTTCTGGAAGGTTACTCCTAAGATAATTACTTGATTTCAGTGGCCACATTTGTTGGGTTGCTTAATATGCTTTGAAAGAAAAATTAAATGTACGCATATATAAGACTGTAAGATGTAAAAACCATTCAGCCCCTCGAGACTGCGCCACCATTTCATGATACCAAGGCTACCTCCATCAGCAGTATACCTTTCCTTAGATAAGGGAGGCAATGGCTTAGTAGTAATATCACTAGACTATTAACCCAGGGACCCGGACAATGTTCTGGAGACCTGGGTTCAAATCCTGTTATGGTAAATGGTGAAATTTGAGTTCAATTAAAAAAAAACTAGAAATAAGGGTCTAAAGAATGGCATGACACCATTGTTGAAACAAAAAAAAATCCATCTGGTTCACTAATGTCCTTTATTTTGTCATCCTTACCTGGTCTGGCCTACATGTGACTCCAGACCCACAGCAATGTGGTTGACTCTTAACTGCCCTCTGGGCAATTAAGGATGGGCTGTTTTAGCAAAACCTTCCCTGCTTTTCATACTCCATTCCCTTTGAAATAAAGGCAAACATTGCATTTGCCTTCTCTATTACCTGCTGAACTTGAATGCTAGCTTTTTGTGATTCATGGGCGAGGACTCCTAAGTCCCTCTGTTCTGTAGCCTTTCAGTTTGTGACAATGTTTTTACATCAGGAGAAGAGGCTCTCTCATGGCACAGTAGTAGTGTCCCCATCTCTGAGCCAGCAGGCCTGGGTTCAAAAGGTATGTCAAAACATCTCTGAACAGGTTTATTCAGAAAATATCTGCATTAAGAGAAGCAATTGTCCTGACACCAAAATTGGAGATGTAGTGGACAGTGAAGAAGGTTACCTCAGAGTACAACGGGACCTTGATCAGATGGGTCAATGGGCCGAGGAATGGCAGATGGAATTTAATTTAGATAAGTGTGAGGTGCTGCATTTTGGAAAGGCAAATCAGGATAGGACTTGTACACTGAATGGTAAGGTCCTGGGGAGTGTTGCTGAACAAAGAGACCTTGGAGTGCAGATTCATGGTTCCTTGAAAGTGGAGTCGCAGGTAGACAGGGCAGTGAAGATGGTGTTTGGTACACTTGCCTTTATTGGTCAGTGCATTGAATATAAGAGTTGGGAGGTCATGTTGCAGTTGTACAGGAAATTGATTAGACCACATTGGGAATACTGCATTCAATTCTGGCCTTGCTGCTATAGGAAGGATGTTGTGAAACTTGAAAGGGTTCAGAAAGAATTTACATCGATGTTGCGAGGGTTGGAGGGTTTGATCTATAGGGAGAGGCTGAATAGGCTGGGGCTATTATCCCCTGGAGTGTTGGACGCTAAGGGGCAACCTTACTGAAGTTTATAAAATCATGAGGGGCATGGAGAGGGTGAATAGTCAAGGTCTTTTAGGAGTTTAATAATAGACAGCAAAGGTTTAAAGTGAGAGGGGAAAGATTTAAAAGGGACCTAAGGGGTAACTTTTTCTCAGAGGGTGGTGCGTGTATGGAACGAGCTGCCAGAGGAGGCAGTAAAGTCTGGTACAATTACAACATTTGAAAGGCACCTGGATGGGTATATGGATAGGAAGGGTTTAGTGGGATATGGGCCAAATGGGAGTAGATTAATTTAGGCCATCTGGTCGGCATGGATGAGTTGGATCAAATGATCCATTTCCGCTCTAAGGCTCTCTAACTACACTACAAACTTGACCACAAGTCTCATTAGCCTGTAGTCCAGACAAGTCTGCATTGCCCTTGTTAGTGTCCCTTTTCAAACAGTAAGCTCCAATTTTCTTCACAAGTATGATGTGTGGCACGTTACATTCACCACAGCAAAAGCACTACCCTCTTCAACACGCTCGGTCAACCTGACGAAAAGACACCTGCAAGTTAGTTGAACACAATTTTCTGACAATGAATTAATGCTAATCCTCCCCAACTAACCAACAATTCCCAAATACTGCTGTTACTTTTGTCCCAAATTATTGTTTCTACAAAGTTAAGCTAGCTGGCCAGTGTTTGCTGCACTCATCTCCAACACACTTTGAGACATCATTTTTGCAGCGCTCCAGTCCTCTGGTGCGAACACCGAGTGTAAAGAAGATTGAAAATTTATGGCCACAGCCTCCACAAGTTCCACTCTCACCTCCATCAGTGTTCTTGGAAACATCCTATCTGGTCCCAGTGTTTTATTAACTTTAAAGACCTATCCAATACCCTTTTCCTTCTCGATTACATCCCTTCCGCTTTCTGAAATAGCAAAGGAAAATCCATTTCACTTGTGAACCCGCTGGTGTCTCAGCAGGTGGGACGAACAAGTGAACCCCTTCCCACACTTGGAGCAGGTGAACGGCCGCTCCCCGGTGTGAACTCGCTGGTGTATCAGCAGGTTGTACGACTGGGTGAAGCCCTTCCCACACTCTGAGCAGGTGAATGGCCTCTCCCCGCTGTGAAGTCTCTGGTGTGCGTCGAGTTGAGAGGAGTGCTTGAAGCGAATCCCGCAGGGAGAGCACATGAACGGGGTCTGCTCGGTGTGAACCCGCTGGTGCGTCAGCAGGTTGAACGAGGAAGTGAAGCCCTTCCCGCACATGGAGCAGATGAACGGCTTCTCCCCGGTGTGAACGCGCTGGTGTGCCAGCAGGCTGGATGACTGAGTGAATCCCTTCCCACACTGGGAGCACGTGAATGGTCTCTCCCCGGTGTGGACGCGCTGGTGAACAGTCAGGTCAGACGAAGTCCTGAACCCAGAACCGCAGAGAGCACACCTGAACGGTCTCTCGTCCGTGTGAACACGCTGGTGGCGCATCAATTCTCCGGAACTTTTGTAGCACTTTGCACAGTCCAGGCACCGGAAAGGTCTTTCGTCGGTGTGAACGCGTTGGTGTCTCAGCAAGTCAGACGGCAGGGCGAATCTCTTGTCGCAGACGGAGCAGGGGAACGGCCTCTCCCCGGTGTGAGTGCGCCGATGAGCTTCCAGCTTCGACGGGGAAATGAATCCCTTCCCACAGTCCTCACATTTCCATGGCTTGCCCCCGTTGTGACTCCATTTGTGTTCGGACAGGCCAGATGATCGGCTGAAGCCTTGTCCACACACAGGACATGTGTACGGTCTCTCCCCACTATGTACAGTGCTTTCCCCTTCCATGCTCAAAATCTGGTAATATTCAGGCCTCGATAAATTCAACGCCTCTGTCAGATCCCAATGTGATGTTCGGCTTGGGTTTCCCCCAACTGCAAATCCTTCCCGTCTAAGATTCTGTGAAATGTTTAAAACAGGGGAGGGGGACAAAAAAAAAGGAATGAGCAAAAACCCACAAAAACACAGGCAGGTTGTGAAACTGAGCTGAATGAATCTGGTAATATATGTGGAGCCAACACCAGGAAAAGGTGAGAGAAAATCCCAACTGGTTCAGTAATATCCATCAGGAGAGGGAACTTGCCACCCAGACTGAACCTACACAAGACTCTGGCCTTGACTTGAGGAGAGAGAGAGCATGCGAGTGGTGGGCAAGGCTGATAGTGATAGAGATGGAAGAAATTACCGCAAATATTGGAATCAACCAATGCTGTACATCACCACAGGTCAGGCAGCATCCATGGTGAGACAGCAAGGTAACGTTTTGAGTCCAGATGCTCTTCAGAGCTGAAGTGAAGTGTGGAGGGGCCAGCATTTATGCTATAGTTGGGGGTGGTGGTCGTGACGAGTACAGATTGCTGGGGGAGAAAAGATGTTGATAGTTCAGATTAAGTGATTGGAACGTGTGAACGGCAGAACAATGATGTGTCTAACTTTGCCAGACTTGAAAGAACAGCCAGTTCCACTGGGGTGGGGGGAGGGAGGGGAGAGGAGAGAGGAGAGGAGAGATGACCTGGTGACAAAGAATGCAACAAGTGAAGCCAAAAGAGAGAGAAGGGGAGCTGGTTCACAATTTGCAGGTGTTTAACTCAATAGTAGGTCCAGAAGGCCGTAAAGATGAGCATTGCTCCTCCAGTTTGTGCTGTGATTCACTGGACCACTGCAGCATACTGAGGACATGGGCACACGAGCAAGATGTTGTGTTAAAATGATCGACTACAGGAAGATCGGGATCATGCTTGCGTACAGACCGGAGGTGTTCTGTAAAGCGGTCACCCAGTCTTTTCTTCCTCAGCACTCTACGTCCCACCACCTTCCCCACCCCAACTATAGCATAAATGCTGTCCCCTCCATCCTTCACTTCAGCTCTGATGAAGAGTCATCTAAGAAATGAAATGTTAACTTGCTCCCTCTCCATGGAATGCTGCCTGACCAGCATTTATTTCCAGTAAGAATAGAGAGGGATTTTATCTGAGCAAGTCAACCGCAACATTGACAGAATCTCCCAAACCCTAAAACTCCACCACCTAGAAGAACCAGACTCTCAAGTGTAGATGAACATTAAAGCCCTCCAAGACACCCCTGTCCCAACTTGCCTGCCATTCAGTACTGGATGAGCAGAAATTTACTCTGTTTAAATATTGGGAAGACTGAAGCCACTCTTCAACAAATTGCATTCTCTCGCCACTAACTCCATCCTCCTTCCTGGGAGGTGTCTGGAGGTTGAACCAGACTGTTCGCAAGTATGGGAAAATATTTCAAGTCATGATGAGCTTCCAACCAACATATCCTCATCATCAACAAGACTGCCTATTTGCACCTCAGCAATCTCGGCTGACTACATCCTATTCTGAGCTCATCAGCTGCTGAATCTCATCCTTTCCTTTGTTATCTCTAACTACCCTAACACACTCCAGGTCAGCCAAAACTCTTGGCTTACTCACACCAAGTCTTGTTCACCCATCACCCCTGTGGTCAGCGACCTTGAAGGCTCCCACTTGAAAGCAGAAACATTTCAGAACTCTCATTCTTGATTTCTTTTGTAGCTGTGATCATCTCTGCATGCTCCTCATGCCACACAACCTTTGAGATCTTTACAACTCATTTAGTTTCAGCCTCCAATTTGTTATTAATTGCTTCACTATTGGTGACTGTTTCTTCTGGAATTCCCAACCAATACCTTTCAGCTTCTCTTTCCTCATTTGAGATACTCCTTAAAACCCAATCATTGGGCAAAGATTTTGGCCACTTTATCTAATGTTGCTATAGTAATTCAGTGTCAAATATTCCTCTATCACATTTCTGTGAAATTCCTTGGGACATGATATTAAATTGAAAACATGATAAAAACATGTGATTGTTGATTTGGACATATATCATCAATCCTTCAGTATCACTGGGTGAATGAAGTGTAACACCTTACCTAACAACACTGCGGGAGCACCTTCACCACACAACTGCAGCAGTTCAAGAAGGTCGATCATCATCTCCACAGTCAACTGGGAATTGGCGAAATTTACTGGTGTCTGTGAGAGAGAAACGGAGTTAAAACAGAGGGAAAACAGGAAAAAGTGTAGAGAAATGGACTCCCCCACTGGAAAAAGAATTCTTGACTCTGAAAGATATTGAGGGAACATAAAGCTAACAAGTCAGCAGCACGTGATCAGCAGCTGAGCTGCTATAGAAATTTCAATTGGACAAGGTCGGAGAAAGTAACAGTAAAATACTAAACAGACTTAAAATGCCCCCAAGATTATCGAGGGAAGAAGGTAGACGACGACGGAGAGGTGATCAGGGAGGGCAGAGGCGAAACAGAACAGTGGTTAGGTGTTATCTTCCGAGTTATAAGAACATTCGACAAACCGGATGCTGCTAGAAGCTTGTTTGATGGATCCTAATGCTTAAAGCAGGACTCACTACAGTTGGGCCCAATCCCAATTTGCAGTCCCAATCTCTAAGGCTACAATAGCTAAAATAAAGCTCCAAACAAGTTGGGAGCACTTCCCTTCCACTAAACATATGCGGTATAACAGGAGCTCTTAACCAGCCTGAAGCCACTCCTTTGGCTTAGTGTTTAACCAGCTCCAAACTTCTTTCCCAGTAACTCATCAACCACCTCTGTCAGTCTAGGACAGAAATCCAGAAGAGACAATAGTTTCTCATGGTTTGAGTTTTCTGCATGTGAGTCCCCATCCAAACCCATAACAAAGGAACGTTACACGCGAGCCCAACGGACACTTGCCCCCTAAAAATATGGTGGCCACGCATACGTCTCATAGTCTACCGCCCCCAAGAGAGATGGCGGCGGGAACCACGGCCTTGTCGCCGCCTGATGCCCGCAGCCATTCTGCCGTTTGCTGCAAACGCGGGACCGGGGCTTCCTATTCCAGGTCTGACGGCTGACATCGGGTTTTTATAAAATTTCTTATTCCCACGCTCGCTCCATTTCTCACCCGCTGCAACTCCCCATTTACTGACTCCTACAGCTCGCCAACTCGGCCAGGATTCAGTTGCAACGACACTACGCCTGCGCAGATGTTCCCTTGCTGAGCGGGGTGGAGACACGTGTTACACCGTAGCACCGCCCTCCATTCACTCCGATTGGTTGGTTGGCTACCCCCGCCTACTCGCTCCCACCAGCACAGCCTGCCTTCAGCCTATTGGTCTGAAACCGCCGTCAATCATCTGGTCCCCTTTGTGAGCAGGAGCATGCGTAGTGTTCTCCCTTTTCTGCGACTCTTTATCACCTCCAGGAGTGAAGCAGTGAGTTCATTCTGAGGTGGATTAGAAATGTGTCTCAGCGATGGTTTAGAGCACGGAACACAAGCTCATTTACAAATGGGATAACACAGTGTGGAGCTGGAGGAACATACCAGGCCAGGCATCTGCAGTTCTTGCTATCTCATTTACGAATGGGTTTGGACTCAGTAAAACGGGGAATGTTGCAAACGTGCTGTCAAATCAGAGATTGGGGCCAAACTGGGATCTGTTCCTGACTGAGAGTGAAACGACAGATTTACCTTTCCAGTCCTGAAAATGACTGGTCATTGTAGTCTGAGAATTTATAATGTTTGTGTGACAATCCTGATTCTTCCGATGTAAGGCAATAGCAACAACTTGCATTTTTATGGAACGTTTCACGTACTAAAATCTACCTCCACTGCCCCCTACCACGTGCCTCACAGACGTTTAGAAGCTAAAGTAACTTAAAGGAGAAGAGAGTGACGCAAATGTCCCATCACCTGAATCATGAGTGTTAATGGGTGGGCACGGTGGCTGTCTCGCAACGCCAGGGACCTGGCTTTGATCCCATCCTCGGACGACTGTTTGGAGTTTGCGCATTCTCCCCGTGTCTGCACAGGCTTCCTCAAGGTGTTTCGGTATCTCCTACCGTCCAAATATGTGCAGTGTAGGTGAGTTGGCCCATAGTCCTCAGGGATGCACAGGCGAGGTGGATAATGCAGGGTTACAAGGATTGGGCAGGGGGTATGGGTCTGGGTGGGAAGCTCTTCAGAGGAGACTCAATGGGCTGAATGGTCCACTCCCACACTGTAGGGATTTTATCATTCTATGATAATGTGGAGATTGGTGCGAGACAGGAAAGGGCCAACACTGGAGGAGTACAGAGAGAGCTCTGAAGTCTGTAGTGCTAGAGGAGATTCCAGAAATTGGCTGCCTTGGAGACAGTAGTTGTCTCTATGGAATCAAGTGCTGTTGTAATGACTACAGCCATGCAGGAAATGTCCACTGCCTGAAACAGGATGTGGCCTTACAATCACCTAAGTGGCCTACAGCAGAATGGAACAATAATATCCCATCCTCGGGTGACAGTGTGGAGTTTGACAATAACATGATGCTGGTCCAGGAGAGAAATGGTGCAAACAAGAAACAGAGAAGTGGAAATTCCGTTCTAAGATCTTCCACTTCTTACTGTCTAACCCCAATCCCCAACCATTACAAAATACACAGCCTCTACCAGGACCCTCAGTGGCTCTGAAGTCTAAGAACATCTGAACAATGAGAGCAGGGAGGGATCTGCCTGTCTCCAGTTCCCTAAATCATACAGGATGCACCAGGTAGAAGTGTCTTGGCGAGAACATCCTGGACACATGGGTTTGACT